TGCCCGGCCAGCCACTTCTCTTCCCTCCAGCCCGGCTGCCCTGCGCTCAGCCCAGGGAGGCTGCATCTAGCTCCAGCTGTGCTAGAGCAAGCTTCCCAGGCTGAGCGCAGGACCACAGATGCCCATCTGATGGACTGTATACGACTAGCAATCTCAGACTACAACTCAGACTTCAAGACACTGGCAGATACTGTTCAGTCACAGGTGTCACACTGAGACTTTGTTGTTGGAAGAAAAAATATATAATTATCAATACTTGATTTTAGATTTACAAAATAGCAGAGAACAATGTATAATTGTAAATGCTTCATTTGACATTTAAATAGCATGAATTAAAAACAGACCATTTATTTCATAACTATAAACGTGATTTTAATTTTATTTATTGCATAATTTAAAAATATACTGTTTAAGAGAGTGTATAAGGGCTGGGGATAGCAAGTGATGGACAGGAGAATAGAGAGGGCGGGGCTTCAAGGAAGGGGCGGGACGGTAGATCTTCGCCTGTTCTGAGACTTAAAAAGTGATCTTGGGTGTAAAAAGGTTGGAGACCACTGGTCTATAAGAAGATGTAGTAATAATAAGATGGGGTGGAAGGTGATGGGGGGAGGAGATTTAGCAATTCAATAACAAACCAGCTTTGTCCTCCAGGATTTTCCAGGGCTGGCAGTTCTAAGGGGAGTGGAAACTCTCTCATTCTAAGTGGTGGTGGCTTGCTGAGGGATTTCTTCTGTTTAACTGACAGGCTGGCTTCCTGATCACCAATGCTGTGCGCTTCATTTTTGTGGCTCCTGGAATTGCATCCTGGCAGTACACTCTTCTTCAGCTGCAGGTAAAGGAATCTCCCTGCTAACCAAAGGGTACACTGCAGCTAGTTTCCCTTTTTCACAAACCTCCCAAATTGCCTCCCTTGCTCCTGACATTGCCCTGTGTCTGGGTGGTGAAGGAGAGGTCCTGGGATAGGCCTCAGTTCTAGCTTCATCGCTGTGTCTAGTTGGTGACCTATGTTGGTTTTTCAGGTGAATGGTGTGTTGCCCATCCTTCCACTGCTCTTTCCTGTCCTATGGGTTCTTGCTACAGCCTGTGGAGAAGCCAGAGTCCTAGCCCAGATGAGTAAGACCTCGTCCATCTCACTGGTAGGTATTTCCCCACCTTAGGTCATTGTGTGCAGAGGGAGGGGCAGAGAAGGTGGTAGACTTGAGTGGACTGCCCCCTGCATTCCTCTCACAATCAGGTTAATCCATAGACTCTTAAAAATTAGTTGGGCAACCCTGTTGGGCCTCAACTACTCCATCTATATTCCCAGTTTTGTGTCTAGCCCAGTTTCAACTGGCCTACGCTCTTCTCTTGTAATTTATTCCACAGTCAAATAGATCCATTGAAGGCAGGGTGTGTGGGCTAGCTGATGGACAGTTGTACTCTCTAGTAAACATTTAAATTGAGATAAATGTGATGCAGTAGGCAAACAAAGGGACTTTGAGTGAATGGGAGTAGCTGCATTTTGTTCTTCTTTTAACTGCTATTAGAACATAAGAACGGCCATACTGCGTCAGACCAAAGGTTCATCTAGCCCAGTAGCCTGTCTGCCGACAGTGGCCAGTACCAGGTGCCCCAGAAAGGGTGGACCGAAGACAATGATCAAGCGATTTGTCTCCTGCCATCCTTCTCCAGCCTCTGACAAACAGATGCCAGGGACACCATTTCTATCCCCTGGCTAATAGCCTTTTATGGACCTAACCTCCATGAAATTATCTAGCTTCTCTTTAAACTCTGTTATTGTCCTAGCCTTCACAGCCTCCTCTGGTAAGGAGTTCCATAGGTTGACTACACGCTGTGTGAAGAAGAACTTTCGTTTATTAGTTTTAAACCTGCTACCCATTAATTTCATTTGGTGTCCTCTAGTTCTTCTATTATGGGAACTAATAAATAACTTTTCTTTATTGGCCCTCTCCACACCACTCATGATTTTGTATACCTCTATCATATCCTCCCTCAGTCTCCTCTTTTCTAAACTGAAAAGCCCCAGTCTCTTTAGCCTCTCCTCATATGGGACCAGTTCCATACCCCTAATCATTTTAGTTGCCCTTTTCTGAACTCTTTCCAAGGCCAAAATATCTTTTTTGAGGTGAGGAGACCACATCTGTACACAGTATTCAAGATGTGGGCGTACTATAGTTTTATATAGGTGCAGTAAGATATTCTGTGTCTTATTTTCTATCCCTTTCTTAATAATTCCTAGCATGATTTAATTCTTCCCCATGAGGTGTGGGAGTTGCCACTTGAAGTGCTGGAGGTTGGATTACAAGGATGTTACCTGAGTGGAACAGGGACTAAGGAGGAGAGGGTATTTTCCATAAGGGTAGATGGGGGTTAGCAGTTTTCCTTGAAGAGGCTGGCAGGGTTGATCCTGAGTTTTTTCTGAGGTATAAGCTGAATCATTCAGTGGATATTGGAAAACACCTTTCCCACCTGCTCCTGGTCTGGCTTTAGCCAGATGCACTGTGGTGTGTTTCTCTTCCTCTCAAATGCCTGTTGTTAATTTTCTGTCTTAGGCAAAGTTACTAACACCTCTTCCTTGTCCTCCCTGGGACTCAGTGTTCTCATGGTGCCCAGTCTTCTCCCTACAAGGTATACAGAACTGACTCGGAAGTCAGAGAGGGTCACTTGTATCTTTTGCTGGCGTAGAATGAGACAGATACTATGCTCGTTGCATTTAAATCAGGGGTGGGCAATAATTTTTAAAAGGAGGCCACTTCAGAAGGGGGAGGGCCAGGAGACTTCTTGTGCTTTCCCCCCACCCTGATTGGCCTGGGGCGGGGGAGCACAAGAAGTCTTCGCCTTCCCTCCCTCCCTCCCTTGTACCAACCCCTAGAGAGAAAAGCCAGATGTTTTAAAACAGAGAATGTCCCCTCTAGGCACCTAGGTGCAGGAGACCTCATGCACTGTCCCTGCCCCCAGGTCAATCAGGGCCCTAGGGACGGAGGAGTGCGCAAAGTCTCCTCGCCCCAGAAGAGCATGCAGTGGCTAGAGAGAGGCGCCGCGCCGGCTGTTTTAAAACAGCTAGCGTGTCTCTCTAGCTGCTGAGCACCCCTTGTAGAGTGGGAAAAGGACACAAGAGACTTTGTGTGCTCCCCCTCCTGCCAAAGGCAGCTGGAGATAAAAGCTGGCTGTTTTAAAACAGCTGGCGTGTGCTCTTGCAGGGGTGAGGAGACTTCGTGTGCTCTCCTGCCCCCAGGCCCTGATTGGCCTGGGGATGGGGGAGCAGCAGGGTGGCCACGGGCCAGATCCACCAGCTTGGCGAGCCAGATCTGGCCCACAGAGGGCCCTTTGCCCACTCCTGATTTAAATGCTCCCTCGCCTTCTCTTTTAGTGGTTCCCCCTCTGTCCGCTCACTGTCAGCATCACTCATCTTAGGCATGATGAAACAGGAGCTCCTTGTCTTCCTTGGGTCATTGTTGTGGGCACTCCATTCTGTCACCCAAACTCTTGCATTGTGTGTGTCCTTTTCTGTCCCCATCTCTGTTCCCCACATGTCTAAGCAGTTCACCAAATCCTGCCAGTTCTTTCTTCATGACATCTCAGATACGATCCTTCCTTCATGTCCTTACGGCAGTGGTGGGCAACCTGCAGCCCGAGGGCCACATGCGGGCCATTGAGGTTCCATGTGTGGCCCATGAGACATTTTGCTTACCGTTATCCACGTGCCAGGTTGCCAGATTCCATGTAGGTTTTTTTCCTACTGGTATTACCAAAAGGACACGCGCTTAAAAGCAAGGGCACTTGAAATGAGGCATGTGCTGATTTCGCACAACATTGTGAGAGCCATGCGCTCCCTTTGCATCCAAAGCGCACTCTACAAATTCTAGGTGCGCAAGTGCAGCTATGACAATCTAGCCAGCCCACTGAGGTGAAGGAGGATCACTCATGCGGCCCACTCACTGGGCTAGGTTGCCCCTCACTGCCTTACAGTCACAAAGTTTGTTCAGGCCTTCGTCACTCTGATCTTGACTGGGGTTCTTTTTTGACCTCCCTATTCCCATCTTTCTTCCCTGTAGGCCATTCAGAATGCAGCAGTTAAGACCCTTCTCCCCTCTGCCAGCTGGACCACATAACTCTGCTCTCTGCTTCCCCCATGGCTGCCTTTTCCCTTCCATCAAGTTAATAGATCTTAAGGTCATAAGTATCTTAGTATTACCTCCTACGTGAGACAGTACATAGGATTTTCCTTTATTAATTCCAGCTTCAAGTCACCTAGATGTGGTTGAATTAGAACACACCTTTTAGAAAAACATACAAATGTAATCTAAAAAAAATGCTTGTGAAGAATCCACCAGAAACCATGGCATTAATAGTTATTTACCCTCATAGTTACAAAGTTGTGCCTTATTTCTAGTCCAGATTTGCCTAGTCTCACCTTAGAGCAATTGTATCTTCTTATACCTTGTTTGCTAGATGGAACATTCAAATTTCTGTTCCCAATATAAGCTGCCTATTGACTGATCAAGATACCCCTCCTCTGATAAGATAAACACAGTTCCTTAAGTCTTTAACTACCAAAGGTGTTTTTTTAGTTCTTCTCTGAACTCTCTCCAAATTCTAACATCCTTCTTGAATTGCTGGTGCCAGAATTGGAGACCATATTCCAGCAGTGGTTGCACCAGAACCAAATACTGGGTAATAAAACCTTCCTGCTCCGAATTCTTGTTTATGCATCCAAGATTTGCATTGGCCCTTTTGGCTACAGTATCACACTGGGAGCTCATGTTGAGCTGGCTGTCCAGCATGATGTCCAAGTCATTTTCAGAGTCACTGCTTCTCAGGTTAGAGTCCCCCAGCCTCTAAGTGTGGCCTATGGTCTTTGTTCCTGAATATATGCCTTATATATTTAACCATGTTGAGAGATGCACTTTGTTTGCTTATGCCCAGTTTACTAAGTGATCCAGAACACTCTGTTAGTGGTTTGTCCTCTCAATTATTTAGCACTCTCCAATCTGTGACATTACCAGCTTTATTAGTAAAGAACTTCATTTTCTTCCAGTTCATTAATAAAAATATTAAATATCATAGGGCCAAGAACCAATCCTTGCGAGACTTCATTGGAAATACGCACTTAATAATAATTGCCTGTGTACAGTTACCTTTTAAGGCCTTTAATCCATTAAATGTGTGCCCATATTGGTGTTGCATCATTCTAGTTTCTTAATAACAATGTTTGCTGTACCAGCACTACTACTAGTGCTATTATTTTAAGCAACCAAACTTGTAATGTCATAAAAAATTATATCAAGTTAAGCAGGGTCTATTTTCCCTAAACCCTTGCTGATAGATGTAACCCTTGCCTTCAGAATTCTTTATTCATCTAGTCCTGTAACATGCACTTACAGAGTGGACTGCCTGGAACAGTCTTCTGCACCATGACACACACACCTGTCTCAGTTTCCCCTTTCAGAGTCTCCTGTAAATCCACTCAGGCTCTTTTGTTTAAATAATGCCCCTCCTTGGAGCCAGTTTAGTACCAAAATTTGATTGATTACTCCCCAACAAAAATCCCAAACATAGTCCATTTCTCATATCCTGTGTATATCATCCTTAAAACCCCACTCTCTGCTGGGAGGCCATCATTATCAGGGGAGTGTTCCTCAGTCCCTCCAGGGTTTCTGTGGTCCCTCTGAATCCAGCCCTGGAGATGTCCTCAAGTAAACTCCTCTGCTGCTCTCCCGATCCTCTTATATGAATACGTCATCTGGCTTGTTCCCAAATACAGAACAGAAATATTTATTTAACACTTCTTCCTTTTCTTCGTTATTGTTTACAGTTTCTACCTGTTTCCATCTAGTGATGGACTGATATCGTTGTCATGGTTCCTTTTGTTCTTGATATGCTTCACTCAAAACAACCCCAAACCTCTTCCTTATTGTCCGTAACTCTGCTGGCTATAGTTTTCTTCATCTCCTTTTCAACTTTCTACAGTTTCTAGCTTCTAATTTGATCCATTGCTGTCAGTTTCCTCTTTTTTCCATCTGTTACGTACTGTTTTTATTTTTTTATTGCTGCTTTCACTTCTTTTCTAAACCAGACTGATTTTCTAGCCAGTGTACCTTTCTTCCTTGATTGTGGCCTTTTGAATATTAATTAAAATGTTATTAAACACTTCCTAGTGATCATTCACATTTCTCTATGTAAATTTTCTCCTGGGTGTTTGGCTCCTGTGTGTTTTGAACTTTGTGAAATTGGCTCAATTGGAAGTGTTAATGCCCAAGACTTTCTTTTATTTACACTTACAACTGCTTTTTTTTTTTTTAGTTTTGTGAGCAGTTCCTCTTTTTATCAAGATGAGAATTCTCCCTCACTGGATGCAACACACTGAGCTGTGAAATTGTCATCTGTAATTTTCCCTCCCTTTCTGCATGATTCCATTCTGTCCTTTCATTTTTACAGCGCACTTCATTCTGCCTCCTTCGTCTACATCCCTGGTGTTATAGGTGGGACCATCTTTGAAATCCCTTCTTAAAGCTCCCTGCTTTCACCCAGTCTGGGTCTATTCAAACTCTGCCTTCTTGTGCCTCAAAATACCAGCCTAAGAAAGAGCTGTCTCCAGGTGCATCTAACTGCTGTCATCTATCTCTTTAGTCTGTAAGCTCTGCAGGGCAGGGGCCATATACATTCATCCATGTCCTGTTTGGCACCAAGCCTTGTGCTTATGCTTATCAGATAAATGATAAGAGGGACCGCTGGAGATAAGAGTATACTGGATTTGATGTTGTAAAGGGTTTGATCATAGAGATCACCTTGAGACGGTCACATGATGTGCTGAAATACCACTAAGCCCTTCCTGCCCTCTGGGGCACCCCACTGAGCCAGAACCTTTGACCTCCCCCAGCAATGGCACAGAGTTGGGATCACATCCCACAGCAGAGCAACACAGACACTGAAATCCACTCGGCGCTGGGAAGGCTCATTCAAAAGGATTTGTCATAGCACCCAGGTGCACAGCTCCAAGAGGGCCAGAACCCCAGAGAAATCCATCTTACTCTGCATAAAGTTTTATATAGTGCAAGCTCATAAGTTATTCCCTCCCTTTATCAATGAAAGAGAGAGATGCACAGCTATTATCCCTCCCAGGTAGCAATTATTTACACTGGGTTTATTAATAAACAAAAGTGATTTTATTAAGGATAAAAAATAGGATTTAAGTGGTTGCAAGTAATAGCAGACAGATCAAAGTAAATTACAAAGCAAAATAAAAATAAATTTGTTACATGCAATTTCTTACTCTAACAGTAATTCTAATAATCTTTCCTCACAAGCTGGGAGATCTCCCAAATTGAGCCTGATAGTTGGGATTGGTCCTGCCTTGGGCAAGGGGCTGGACTTGATGACCTCCTGAGGTCTCTTCCAACTCTATGATTTTTCTTAATGTTGAGTTGCAGCAGACATACTGGATAATAAACAGGGGTGTCTTGGTATCTGGCAGCAATCCCTGTTGTCTGGTTCCTTGCCTATGTATAGATTTTTCCCAAGGCGGGAATCCTTTGTGTTCAGTTTAAACTCTTTCACACTTTACATGGAAAAATATAGCATCCAAAATGGATTCCAGCATCAGGTGACCTGGCTACATGTTTTGGCAAGACCAGGCAAGACTATTCACAGTAAAAGCAAAACTTCACAGGTCATTGTCTTGAGTATTAGGTCATTAAGTTCCTTGAGTACTACTAATGGCCTTCACTTAGCATGTCTAGATTAGTAAATAGGTTTATATTTCATGTTTCTAACTTCAAATACAGGAACGATACATGCACACAAATCTATCTATATGTTTTAGAAACGTGTATTTCTGTCTGTTCATGAATCAGTTTGTCCAATAACTTCTCCTAAATAAGAGTTAGGACCACTAAATTTGGTATGCCGCTTCTTCTCATCCTAACTTAAAGCAAGGTCAGGTTTGGTTGTTCTAGGACCATGGGATGTTCCTGAAATTCAATTGTTTCGCGTAAAACGGAAAGGAAGGGGTCTAGCAGGAGGCACAGTTGTACTGTTGAATGATCACAGGGGGCAGCAAGCACCCCTGACAAAAACTGCTCATCAGGAGCATCCAACAAACCAGCCTGCCCTGGCCAGCAGCTGCCACTGGCTGCCCCCGGGCTGGCCCTGGGGAGCTTCTGGCAGCAGTCTGCATGGCCATCCCCTTGTCTCCTGGGTTTGCCAGCTGCCCTGCTTTTGCTGCTGGCGGCCTCGCTGCTGCCCCACCTGGCTGGGGCTCCCGAGGGACAGGGTTTGCACTCCCAGGTACTGGGGCTCTCTGATCCAGCAATGTCCATGGTCCTGGCAGACCATGGATGTTGCCTGAAGAGGGAGTCCCAGATTCCAGAGGTTCACCCTGTAGAATGTGCACATTCAGCAGATTACAAGCTTCCCAATGATTCCTTACAAGACTTATTTTACAAAAGCATATTTGAGTTATGCATATTCATATTCATAAGCATTTTCCATAAATAATATGAAATACACAGTCCTGGTTGGATCACTGGTCTCTTTTGGTATGGCAGTAGAGAACAGGATCCCTCCCTTCTCCTGCCAGAAGAAATGATATTCAGGGAGGGACACGTCTCATGGACCTTTTCTGAGCACCCTGATAGTAACTGTTTTTTTTCTCTTGCTACAGCTGAATAAGTTTTCAGAGGACACACTCAGCAGCTACACAGAGATGGTATCTTCTCAGGTACTGTTATCACTGTTATTTACTAGTCTTCCATTCTCTTTCTACTTCATGGCTATCTCTATAAGATCCTTTCCCTTGTCCCTTTGCGGGCAGCGTCAGGTCCCTGATTCTTTGCTGCTGGTGTGAGAAGCCTGCTGCCACTTTTTGTTGCTGCTTTATTCTGCTCTGCTTGCAGGTAGTATGTCTTTCCCATAAACCCTCTAATGTAGAAACTGCTCCACTGGCCAGGACTTAGCTAAATGTGACCCATTTACCCTTCCAAATGTCATAAATTAGAATTCAGCTGAGGTTTTGGAACCTAGCTTTTCTGTCTTGGAGAACACGTCTGTTTCAAGTCCTCTTGGTCGCTCTTGCACCACAGATTAAATGATTGGTCAAGAAAGACTGGTACCTGGTAGAAGGCTGGGGCAGAATTTAACTTAAATTAAAAACAAACAACCCTCATCCAATCAAAACTAGTCAACAGGGTGATAAGTAGCAGCAAGACTGGCACCCTGGCAGAGGTGAAATACAAAGAAAGGAAAGTGGGTCATTTGGGATGAAATCCTGATCCTGCGTCACAAGCTTAATGATATTGTGTTCTCGCTAATGCTTCCCAAACCAGAGGAAACAAACTTTTAAAGGACCTGCCTGGATCCAGCCCCTCTCTAAATTACATCACCCTGATAAGATACTGCCTTGCCTAATCTGGCATTAGGATTTCCATGTCTGTGGGAAAACAGAGGGATTTCCACAGCTAATTAGACATCCCCAAATGTCCCCTGGTTCAGTCTACCCATGCCACTGCTAGCCCTCACTCACACTCACATCACTGTCTCTGGACATTTCCTAACCTTCCTGTGCCAGTTCATCCCTTAGCTGAGTTCTGCAATTCAGTGCTCGAGCAGTTCAAAAGTAGGAACTTGAGGTCCTCTCCCTGGCTGCATGGCTCTGTTCCCTTTGTGCAAAGGCCTTGGCTGTGAGTGTGTCTGGAATATACACGGCCTCTTCTATTTGTTTTAAATTAAATATTGTTCTGCATTTGTGACTACAACTATGGGTGAGATCTAATCTGTCTAGCTTTGTCAGTCAACATAGTATTTGAGCACTGGAGGAGTTCAAGCATAGAAGGCATGCAAGGTGATAGTAATCCAGGAATGCATTTAAAGCCTGCTGTTCTCCATCAAAATGCAGACCGAGTTCAGCTGGGAACAAGAAACATACAGCTCTGAGGCTGGGACTGGAGCCCAGATTTACAGAGATGAGTCCATATGTGTTCGCCTTCTTTCATCCAGCCTCTGTTTTGGGATAGTACTCCTGTGGGAGACTGATTGTTTGTGATAGTAGCATAGTTAATTTGTAGTATTTTCCCCCATGAAGACCTTCCTTTAGTTATTCATAGATTAGATTTTTAGTTACATGGGAGGGGGGTATGGTGGTTCTAGCAGGAGATAGAATCCAGACTCCTGACTCCCCAGTTTACCTTCATTGTTCCCTCTAAGCTGCGGGGCAGCACAGCTTCACAGGTGATTAATAAGCCCCATCCAGTCAGAGGCTGAGGGCTCCAGGCAAGGAGCTAGCTGACTGGTCAGGGCTGATTAATCACCTGTGAAGATATGCTGCCCCACAGCCTAGAGGGAACACTGCTTACCTTGGGCAAGTCACTACACCACAGTGCCTCAGTTGTCCCATCTGGAAATGAGTTTAATAGGTGTGTGCTAGAGCACCCAAGGATCTGAGCATATTGTTTAGTAAAAAAAAATAAAAAATCCAAGAGTCAGCCTCAACTTACCAGAGGTGAAACCCCTTCAGCATTCACACCTTTGTTTCCTGGGAAGATTGTGATGGTCCCAGCAGAATCCCTGTCCAAGGAACATACTTTCTATTTGCATTCAGCAGGGGGACTGCCCTTGCCTTCAGAAACTTCAGCCTACTCACACTTAGTCTCGTGCCACTGCAATGGATAATTTCACAGGGTCTCTTTGGCTCAAATGTGTAAGCATTTTTGTCGGCTTCACACACCCTTCCTCCCCCTTCCTCACTTAGGCTCTCCCCAGCGAATTGTCACCTGTCGTCTGCTTCTCTGACAGGAAATGCTACGTTGTATCTGGAGCCACTTTCTGTGTGTTTTAAAAGGCAAGTCTCCAACACTCAGCTTCACCTCCAGCTTACTTCACAGCCTGGGATCTGTCACTGTGAGTATCATTAGGTTGTCCCAAGGAAGACACCTAAATGGGACACTTGGCTCCATTCACAGCATTCTGAGTAAAGCTTCTTGTGGGGTTTCTAGTTTCCTGTGTTTGAAAGGGGCTTACGACCTCTATTGTAAAGTGCTTTGAGATCTCAAGAGTAAAAGCTCTGTATAAGAGCTAGACATCTGTATACTAAGGTTCCAGGATTTTCGGTGTGAAGCAATGGAAACTGCTGTGTTCAAGGCTGAGAACTTGTTTTGTTTAGAATATCACTAGGTTCAATTATCACTGGGATTCGATGCCTTTTCCCATCCAATTTTTAAGCTCTCATCTATTTTCTGCTTTTTACACTTCATGAATTACAGCCATGTGACAGCAAAAGTGTTAGCCTAACTATAGTAGTCTTTAAACCAAATGAGCACCTGTTCTCTTATAAGCACACTTCCAATAAAAGCAGTGGTTTAGATGACATTTACTGTGTTCTGGTAGCTTAAACCCAGGCCATATTTTTTGGTCTTATTCCTGATCTGCTGATGACATTAGAAAAAAAACCTCTTGATCTTTCTGGGCCTTCGTGTACCAATCTGTAGAACAGATAACATTACTTGTGTCCTGCTCATGTATTTCACACTTAGTTGTAATAGGTCCAAAAATGAAACCTGCATTAGGTGACCATTAATTCAGATGGAATCAAGTTGTGCTCAGTACCTGTGGGAGTGCTTTTGGAATGTGCTTTCAAGAAGGAGGTTGCTTAACAAGGGACTTATGTCTAAATTTGTATCTGAAAATCCACTGGGCCTCTGTGCTGTTTGTTTCTGTGAATATATATTTTAGGACATCGACTCACTGGGTGTTATATTTTGGGGGGTGTTGCGGGCTATCTTGGGATGTTACAGGTGCTTTGCTGTGTAGACAAGCAGGGGATACTATCGTGGCCAAATCCCAGTCCGGAGACAGTTCTGTTCTTCAGTGGGAAGGTGGAAGCCCCTAATGATAGCCATGAAGACCTGACGGATGAGCTCTCCACACACTCCTTCTGCCACCCAGAAATCGACGAGGAGGTGAGGGATGGGTCATCAATGAAGTGACACTTTGCTTTCCGCATGGCTTGGCTGGCAGCCTTAGCACTTCTGGCCAGGCAACTATCTTCAGTTCATGATCTGGCAGGATTTGTAGTGCTGTAGTTGAGCAAGTGTTGAGCTCCTAGAGGAGAATGTCATTGCTTGAATGATTAAGGAATGGTGAGGACAAGGTCCTCCAAAGAGTATCCTGTCCAATCCTCTTCAATAGAGGCCAGAGGTTGCCCTGTCCTCAGCTATCCAAATCCATCCCTGAGTAGAACAGGTCTGGCAACGTGCAAATCAGTAAAGGATTTCCCATTCTGGCCCATGAGCGACTCATCACTGTTCACCTCCTTGCTCTCTTGTAGCCCCATGAGAGAGATGCTCTGCTCTCTGGTCCTATGATGGATTTGGTCCACGTTGCCAATGAACAGGAGAGAAACGACTGGCCTAGTGATACCCCAAAATCTTCTGATGTCCATCTCCACAGAAAGCCAAACAGCAGAAGCAAGCATCCATCAGGGTCCAATGTGAGCTTCAGCAAAGACACGGATGGAGGCGAGGAGGTGACAACCCAGGTAAGGTACGCAAAAGTGGATACAGTCAGCCTCTCACTGACCTGTAGGACGGACTGTGTCAAGTGGAGAAAAATCCCTGCTTCCCCACAATTTGAGTTAGAGGATGACGAAATCTAACACATGTGTATGACTTAAGTAAGAAAAAGAGCAGCTGAATCTATACTCGATGTCTTGCTGGCCTTGTGTATGGGAAGATGGCCCTCTAGCCAAAATCACATTATAATGAGAGGTACTTGGTAGACACACCTTCTCTGGAGAACAAATTACAGCCAGCATTGGCTCCCACAGCTTTGGCTTTCTCCTCTTTCCATGGGATACGGGAGCTGCTCATTTAAAGCGGCCAGCTTCGAAGTCTGATGATTTAGTTACCACTATTGATAGCTGTACACAAGAGAACAGGTTGTGAGAAGCCTCTTCATCATCATCCTGGTGATGCTAACACTCTGCTAGACCAGCTGCTGGTTTGACTCAGGGTATGTCTACACAACCCTCCTAGTTCGAACTAGGAGGGTTGTGTAGACATACCCTGAGTCAAACCAGCAGCTGGTCTAGCAGAGTGTTAGCATCACCAGGATGATGATGAAGAGGCTTCTCACAACCTGTTCTCTTGTGTACAGCTATCAATAGTGGTAACTAAATCATCAGACTTCGAAGCTGGCCGCTTTAAATGAGCAGCTCCCGTATCCCATGGAAAGAGGAGAAAGCCAAAGCTGTGGGAGCCAATGCTGGCTGTAATTTGTTCTCCAGAGAAGGTGTGTCTACCAAGTACCTCTCATTATAATGTGATTTTGGCTAGAGGGCCATCTTCCCATACACAAGGCCAGCAAGACATCGAGTATAGATTCAGCTGCTCTTTTTCTTACTTAAGTCATACACATGTGTTAGATTTCGTCATCCTCTAACCATACATGCCTATGTGGTACATGAGAATGGCCATACGGGATCTAACTATCTATCCCCATATCTTCATAGAATCATAGAATCATAGGACTGGAAGGGACCTCGAGAGGTCATCGAGTCCAGCCCCCCGCCCTCAAGGCAGGACCAAGCTCCGTCTACACCATCCCTGACAGATGTCTATCTAACCTGTTCTTAAATATCTCCAGAGAGGGAGATTCCACCACCTCCCTTGGCAATTTATTCCAATATTTGACCACCCTGACAGTTAGGAATTTTTTCCTAATGTCCAATCTAAACCTCCCCTGCTGCACTTTAAGCCCATTACTCCTTGTCCTGTCCTCAGAAACCAAGAGAAACAAATTTTCTCCTTCCTCCTTGTGACACCCTTTTAGATATTTGAAAACCACTATCATGTCCCCCCTTAATCTTCGTTTTTCCAAACTAAACAAGCCCAGTTCATGAAGCCTGGCTTCATAGGCTTCTCTAGACCTTTAATCATTCTTGTCGCTCTTCTCTGTACCCTTTCCAATTTCTCCACATCTTGCTTGAAATGTGGCGCCCAGAACTGGACACAGTACTCCAGCTGAGGCCTAACTAGTGCAGAATAGAGCGGCAGAATGACTTCACGAGTTTTGCTTACAACACACCTGTTGATACAACCTAAAATCATATTTGCTTTTTTTGCAACAGCATCACACTGTTGACTCATATTCAACTTGTGGTCCACTATGACCCCTAGATCCCTTTCCGCCATGCTCCTTCCTAGACAGTCGCTTCCCATCTTGTATGTATGGAACTGATTGTTCCTTCCTAAGTGGAGCACTCTGCATTTCTCCTTATTAAACCTCATCCTGTTTACCTCCGACCATTTCTCTAACTTGCTAAGGTCATTTTGAATTATGTCCCTATCCTCCAAAGAAGTTGCAACCCCACCCAGTTTGGTATCATCTGCAAACTTAATAAGCGTACTCTCTATCCCAATATCTACATCATTGATGAAGATATTGAACAGTACGGGTCCCAAAACAGACCCTTGAGGAACTCCACTTGTTATCCCTTTCCAGCAGGATTTAGAACCGTTAACAACAACTCTCTGACTACGGTTATCCAGCCAATTATGCACCCACCTTATCGTGGCCCTATCTAAGTTATATTTGCCTAGTTTATCAATAAGAATATCATGCGAGACCGTATCAAATGCCTTACTAAAGTCTAGGTATATGACATCCACCGCTTCTCCCTTATCCACAAGGCTCGTTATCTTATCAAAGAAAGCTATCAGATTAGTTTGGCATGACTTGTTCTTCACAAACCCATGCTGGCTATTCCCTATCACTTTATTACCTTCCAAGTGTTTGCATATGATTTCCTTAATTACCTGCTCCATTATCTTCCCTGGGACAGACGTTAAACTGACCGGTCTATAATTTCCTGGGTTGTTCTTATTCCCCTTTTTATAGATGGGCACAATATTTGCCCTTTTCCAGTCTTCTGGAATCTCCCCTGTCTGCCATGATTTTTCAAAGATCATAGCTAAAGGCTCAGATACCTCCTCTATCAGCTCCTTGAGTATCCTGGGATGCATTTCATCAGGACCTGGTGACTTGCTGACATCTAACTTTCCTAAGTGATTTTTAACTTGTTCTTTGTGTATCCTATCTTCTAAACTTACCCTCTCTCTGCTTGTATTCACTACGTTAGGCACACCTCCAGACTTCTCGGTGAAGACCGAAACAAAGAAGTCATTGAGCATCTCCGCCATTTCCAAGTTCCCTGTTACTGCTTCTCCCTCCTCACTAAGCAGTGGGCCTACCCTGTCCTTGGTCTTCCTCTTGCTTTTAATGTATTTATAAAAGGTCTTCTTGTTTCCCTTTATGCCTGTAGCTAGTTTGATCTCATTTTGTGCCTTTGCCTTTCTAATCTTGCCCCTGCATTCCCGTGTTGCTTGCCTATATTCATCCTTTGTTAGTTGTCCTAGTTTCCATTTTTTATATGACTCCTTTTTTATTTTGAGATCATGCAAGATCTCCTTGTTAAGCCAAGCTGGTCTTTTGCCATATTTTCTATCTTTCCTACACAGCGGAATTGTTTGCTTTTGGGCCCTTAACAACGTCCCTTTGAAATACTTCCAACTCTCCTCAGTTGTTTTTCCCTTCAGTCTTGCTTCCCATGGGACCTTACCTACAAGTTCTCTGAGCTTATCAAAATCTGCCTTCCTGAAATCCATAACCTCAATTGTGCTGGTCTCCCTTCTACCTTTCCTTAAGATCATGAACTCTATTATTTCATGATCACTGTCCCCTATACTGTCTTCCACTTTCAAGTTCTCAACTAGTTCCTCCCTATTTGTTAAAACCAAATCCAGAACAGCTTCTCCTCTGGTAGCTTTTTCAACCTTCTGAAACAGAAAGTTGTCTCCAATGCAGTCCAGAAACTTATTGGATAGCCTGTGCCTCGCTGTGTTAGTTTCCCAACATATGTCTGGATAGTTGAAGTCCCCCATCACCACCAAATCTTGGGCTTTGGATAGTTTTGTTAATTGTTTAAAAAAGGCCTCATCCACCTCTTCCACCTGGCTAGGTGGCCTGTAGTAGACTCCTAGCATGATATCACCCTCGTTTTTTACCCCTTTTAGCTTAACCCAGAGACTCTCTACACAGCTATCTCCTACGTTCATCTCCACTTCAGTCCAAGTGTGTACATTTTTAATATACAAGGCAACCCCTCCTCCCTTTTTTCCCTGTCTGTCCTTCCTGACAGAATGTGCTCAGCATGTTTGTCTTAGACCTGCCCACTCTTCCCTGTTGAAGAAACAAAAACATGAACAGGGAAGAACTGTTCATTCTTCTTTTAAAAGACTAGGGGGGCAGTGTCCCCTGCTCTCTCTGCTTCCAAACTCAGCCCCTGTCCGCTTCGCTCCCCTGGTCGCACTGCTCTGGCTTTTTAAAGCCTGCTTGCCTAGGTCAGGCCTGCCCCCTTCTGAGTCACACAGGGGAAGGCTGAGCCTGAGGCTAATCAGAGGCAATCAAGGGAACAATGGCAGGCTCTCAGTCCCAACTGCCACAGAAGCTGAAACTGAAACTGCTAGCACTCCCTGGAATCAGACTCAATTCACACTTCAAACTGTAAAATTCAAACAGTCAGGCACACACACACACTCACACCACAGCTTGTACTCTCACCGGGTAGCCTCTTCGGCGGTGGGGGCGCTTTGCTCTCCCTCTTCAACTCCCCTGTCTGCAGTCCCCTGTCCGCTTCGCTCCCCTGGTCGCACTGCTCTGGCTTTTTAAAGCCTGCTTGCCTAGGTCAGGCCTGCCCCCTTCTGAGTCACACAGGGGAAGGCTGAGCCTGAGGCTAATCAGAGGCAATCAAGGGAACAATGGCAGGCTCTCAGTCCCAACTGCCACAGAAGCTGAAACTGAAACTGCTAGCACTCCCTGGAATCAGACTCAATTCACACTTCAAACTGTAAAATTCAAACAGTCAGGCACACACACACACTCACACCACAGCTTGTACTCTCACCGGGTAGCCTCTTCGGCGGTGGGGGCGCTTTGCTCTCCCTCTTCAACTCCCCTGTCTGCAGTCCCCTGTCCGCTTCGCTCCCCTGGTCGCACTGCTCTGGCTTTTTAAAGCCTGCTTGCCTAGGTCAGGCCTGCCCCCTTCTGAGTCACACAGGGGAAGGCTGAGCCTGAGGCTAATCAGAGGCAATCAAGGGAACAATGGCAGGCTCTCAGTCCCAACTGCCACAGAAGCTGAAACTGAAACTGCTAGCACTCCCTGGAATCAGACTCAATTCACACTTCAAACTGTAAAATTCAAACAGTCAGGCACACACACACACTCACACCACAGCTTGTACTCTCACCGGGTAGCCTCTTCGGCGGTGGGGGCGCTTTGCTCTCCCTCTTCAACTCCCCTGTCTGCAGTCCCCTGTCCGCTTCGCTCCCCTGGTCGCACTGCTCTGGCTTTTTAAAGCCTGCTTGCCTAGGTCAGGCCTGCCCCCTTCTGAGTCACACAGGGGAAGGCTGAGCCTGAGGCTAATCAGAGGCAATCAAGGGAACAATGGCAGGCTCTCAGTCCCAACTGCCACAGAAGCTGAAACTGAAACTGCTAGCACTCACCTGGAATCAGACTCTCAATTCACACTTCAATCTGTAAAATTCAAACAGTCAGGCACAGGCACACACTCACACCACAGCTTGTACTCTCACCGGGTAGCCTCTTCGGCGGTGGGGTCGCTTTGCTCTCCCTCTTCAACTCCCCTGTCTGCAGTCCCCTGTCCGCTTATCTTCCAACAGTGGCTAGTGCCAGGTGCTTCTGAGGGAATGAATAGAACAGGGCAGTTTATTAAGTGATCCAACACCTGTCATCCAGTCCCAGCTTCTAGCAGTCAGAAGTTGAGATACCTGGTACATGGGGTTGCATTGTTGCACATCTTGTCTGATAGTCCTTGATGGACTTATCTTCCTTGAACTTGCTTAACTCTTTTTTTACCCAGTTATACTTGAGCCTTCCCAGCATCCTCTGGCAACAAGTTCCATAGGTTGTGTGTTGTGATAAGGAAGTATTTCTTCCATTTGTTTTAAACCTGCTGCCTGTTAATGTCATTGGTGACCCCTAGTTTGTGTTATGTGAAGGGGCAAATAATAATTCTCTATTCACTTTCTCTACATCATTCATGATTTATAGTAATAGATTAATATCCTTGGTCTGCATACCAGAGAATGACACAGATTTTTAAATATATGGTTCAAATTTGGTTTGTTACTGTAGTTGATTATTCATGAATATTTGATCCCCAAGCAGTCAAGAAATAGACATAAATCCTGAAACTGACACAGAATTCTATGGAAAGGAGAAAATGGAATAATGAGTATCAAAAATGTCATGTGATCAGACTGGGACCAGAATCTTTAAACCATATACAGGGTGCCAGTTTGTGACCTTGAATACCAAATACCAGTAATGGATATTTTACTTGTAGAAGCCCGAGTCTTCATTTGTGGCAGATGTAGAACAATGCCAGGTATAAAGCTGAGATGCTAGGATAATGCAAATACTAAATAATACATTCACAAAACCAGCAATGGACTGTGACTAATTCGTGAAGTCAAAAGCAAAAAAACCCCAAGGACAAATTAACTGAATTCAGTATTCATTAAATATTAATTGACAGGTAATACTTGCGACTCGTGTGTACTGACTGTGCTCTCAGATATTCTGAATTCGTATCACTGTAGCTCCACGTATTTCAGTGGAGCTTATTGCTGAATTACCCCAATGTAAGCAAAGGGAGATCTGGCATGATATCTTCCAGTGACAAATTAGGACCCTATGGGTATGTCTACCCTGCAGTTAGATCCCCACCGTTCCATGTCAGCTGGCTGGTAATAGGCTTGGTGCTTAAGCAGGGCTCACAAAGATGTGCTTTCTGCTGGGGCAAATGTCTGACTGTCTCTAGTGTAGCCTGCTTCAGTAGCTGAACTGTAAGGGGGAAGCAGTCGGGGAAGAATTTCGCTTCATTCCCCTTGCACATCCATTGGTATGGCCTACATGTCCCTTTCTAGAGAAGAAAAGCATCTATTTACTGAAAGCCCTTTCCCCTGGGAAGGGTAGTTCTTTCATGAACAGAATTAAAGGAGGTACCTGTTGTTAGTGTCTATGATGACACACTCATATGTTCTTGTGCATTTAGGGCAGTGGTCCCCAACACGGTGCCCGTGGGCGCCATGGCGCCCTCGGGGGCATTTGTGTGCGCCCGCCAAGTGCTCGGGGCTGGCCAGGCCCCGGGCACGTGGCGCGTGCATGGTGCTGGAGCTGGCCCCGGGCACATGGCGCACTGTAAGCGCTGGCCCTGGGAGCACTGTGAATTGGCTGTCCGCGCTCTGGGCGCATGGTGCTTGGGGGGAGCGCCGGCCCCGGGTACGTGGCGCTTGGGAGGGGGGGGGCGCGCCGGCCCTGGGT